GGGGGGGCAACATGCTTTCCAGGTTATGCTTGCAGAGGTCCTGTACAGGCTTAGGAGTAGGGGTAGGTAGATAATGAAAGGTGAAATTGAGAGAAGAATATAGCTTAGTTTTCAAAAAAAAAGCCGAGTTGCTGAGCCGCATTTTCACTTGTAAAATAATTCCAAAATAGAACTCAATTACGGCGATGCTGTCAATTTTAGCGAGTTCTAAATCACCGTATGCTGTCTGAGAATGAGTCGATTGTCCTTCACCCCTTTCTTTGCGAAATACTTTTCTTCTCTCTCTTTTTTCACAATAATTTTCTCCTGACGCGTCGCTACATTTGTTTGTACCATGATCATGATGATGTTATAAACAGTCTCTTTGAAGCGTGATCAGTATAAAATACTATAAATCCACCTAATGAACGCTTTATTCAGGTACTTTCCTTGTGTTTTTTTCCGTTTTTTTTTACATTTTTTTCTTGAGGCAGCTCAATCCGGACTCCTTTCTCTTTTCGAGTGTTGACTGTCAAGGGGGGGGAGGGCGGGAGGTATAAATTGGTGTTTATTAAGGGGCTGAAGAGGTTTAAAGTGGGGTGCCTTAGTCTGATAATTCTGTTGTTTTCCTTTTTTCTCTTCAAATCCGTAAGGAATTTCGGAGAGAAAGGATTTCAAAAAAGTAACAAATTCAGATTCTCTTGTTTTCTTTTTTCTCTTCAATTGCCCGTCCAACCGAAACTTTCTTTTGCATTGCACTGCACGACATTTGTTTCAAATATATTTTTATTTATGTATTTATTTTTATTTATTTATATGGCACCAACATTTGTTTCACCTGGATTTTTATTTATTTATTTATATATATTTATTTATTTGTCACTTCGGGTGCCCAGTCCCATGCCCGGTGTCCATGCCCGGCCGGGCACCCAGGCGTCAACCCGGGCACAAGCTAGGTGCCCGGGCGGCCGGAAAATCATCCTAGTTTCTTGGCAGAAGATTCAAAGGCCTGACCAACGTTATATTCTACTGCGGAAGTACTCACACAAAGAACTCCAGATTCATTCAGGTATAATGTCAAGCTTAACGGCATACAGACAGCAATTATGGCGAAGCCCGTGCACCCAGGCGTGAATCCGGGCACACCGGGCACAAGCTAGGTGCCCGGGCTCCCGGACCGGCAGAAGATTCATAGGCCTGACCAACGTTGGCCACAAGCTAGGTGCCCGGGCTCCCGGACTGGCAGAAGATTCAAAGGCCCGACCAACGTTATATTCTTTTTGTTTTTAGTGCTAAAAACGCATAAACTTTATTTATACAAGACGGGAAACGAACCCCCGGACCCGCTCACAAGCTGTCATTGTATTCCCCTACTGCGAGCAAAATTAAAAGAAAAAAATTACACGTGAAAATAAAAAGAAAGCACACCGGCCGAATTCAGAAGCGGGGACACAAAAGGGATATAACTTGCGCAGTGGGTAGGTCGTCGAGCCTGGCTGGTAAGCGAAACTGGCTGAGGTTCCAAAAAAAAAAAAAAAAAAAAAAAAGAAACTGGCTGAGGCTGCCAGGATAACTCCGGGTCGAATTGTGAGGTCCCCGGCCTCGTCCCATTGTTATTTTGCAACACATAATACATATTGAAGCTTTCCAATATAAACAAAACAAAAAAAAGAATCGGGGACACACTGGCACCAACGGATCCAAAAAAAAAAACAGAAGCAGAAACAAAAACCAAATGATGTTCTGTCTTAGTCTACAAACACGAGATGAAACAGAATCGAAAACCGAACTCTACTCTGCCCAACAGTCTAACCGCGAATATAACGTACGGTCATTATAGCTGAATTTAAGGTATCTTTCAGTCTCAATACAGCTAAAATGACCGTACGTTGTATTCGGGGGAAGAAGGTAGGTAGTACGCTCCCGAGTCCCGACAAAAAAAAAAAAAAAAAAAAAAAAAAAAAA